GGTGTTAATAATTGACAGCCTGCTGTTTGCACAAAACCGCAACAGCTTCATATTATTGTTGAAGTCGCTAGGGCCGTTTTTCCAATCACGCCGTTCCACTCTCAGGGTCTACTCCGATATGCGCACTGAAATCGCCCACTAATATGAGGGACTCCGCATTCGGCACCTTCTACTGAACGGATTCGGCACCTTCTACTGAGGGACTCCGCATTCGGCACCTTCTACACTTTCTCAAACAGGCAATAATATTCTCCCACTAAACTGGGCGCAGAGACCTGTAACAAGGTCAACGCTTTAGCCTGTTGTAGTTTCAGTCGGAGGATTGTCACCTTCCGCTGACAGGTTTCCATTCAATGATTCCATGAGCCAGGTTAGGTTCTACCAGAACACTAACGCCTGCCTGAACGTGCGTCGTCATTTCGACACCTGAGGAGAATAGCTTTCATCCGCAGAGGCTCAGGATTCGAGAGCCTTGGCGCTTCGTTTACGGGAGCGCAACAACTTCAAGTTAATACTTTATGACCTCATCAACTAACTCTTGCTCTTTCCCTCTGAATGAGGATATATTCTAATTTCTGACTATAAGCTCCAACTGGCGGTATGGTTCTCGCGGAGCCTTTTCTGACGTGTTATAATAGCATCGTGGTGTTATAATGGCCTCCTCCGTTCAGAACGGGTAGCGACTCGGTTGCTGAATGGTATCTTATTCGTCGTTTCGTCGATCTTCGCAATCCGTTGTTGCGCTGCTACGCCACCGCTGGCACAAGGCAGTGAGTAGGTTATGATCGCCGACTTTTCACAGCCTGCCTCAGTCCCGCAACAGTTTGCGCGGCCCTTGGTAACTTGGGCAACGACCGAGCCAGTACAATTTTCGACAACGGCAACGCCATGAAGGGCAGCTCGCTAAGTTTTTCGGAAATTCGACACGATCTCCAACCCTCCTCCTTTTTGATCCGGACTTTGGGCCGGCAACGGCTAAGTTCTGGTAATTCTATAAGAAACATTAGATTGCCTGTGGCTTACTGATCAGTTTATGAACATTGTATTTATCATAAGATATCTCAATATATAAATTTTATTGCACATCACATCATCCAGGACGAATCACTTGTGTTGTTAAGGTACATAGGTAAAAATTGATACAGTTTTTGTACAGTTAACAAGCTCTGGCTATCAAGAGAAAGTACCTGTGCAACAAACCCACGAGTTTATTTAAATGATAATCATTTACCAGATTACTGCCAAGAAGTCGTAAAAGTCATAAGTCGTACAAGCACCTGGCCTTGCAATTTGAAATGTTTTTGATTTATGAACTTATCTGCTGACTGGTATTATAGACTTACTACATCATGACGGCGTACTGTTAGGGTATGAAATCAATGTGCTGAGAATCAAAGGCACTTAATATCGTCCATGTTTGTCTGTCGATGCTGAATCACTACAATGAACGATTAATCTGTGCAAAATCCAGTGCATTTAGCTCCGATTTAGAAGCCTCCTTCTCAGGACAAAAACTGCTATGCGAAACTAATCTTCCTTTGCAACTGCCATTGAGCAACACATCGCACGATTTACAGAAGAGTTTATTAGATTGTCAAGTACCTGAAGGCCGACTTTACGTCAGAACTTGATACACCGAATTCGCGAAGGGTGTCGCCGTCCGGAGCGACTTGCACGAATTCGCGGAGACTGTTCAGCTGCGAAATCCCGTAAACGTCTGCGATGTTTCCACGAACCGACTTGTTGCAGTTCGTGGCGAGGAGCATTTTCCTTTTTCTAGAAATGACGCAGACATTACATCAAGAGAGAAAAAAACTTAATGGTTCGACTTAGATACCCGTTGATAATGTTGACCAGTTCGAAACGTGTACATGTAGAAATCAATGCATAAGTCTGCATCAGCGTGCACAGTTTACCGACTTCCTTCTTGATGTTTCTCTCTAGTTCTTTTCTTCTTACTGGCAAGTTTCCCAGAAACTTTTTCACAATTACCGTCGTTCCAACCTAAATGCACCTGATGTACACCCTTTTACAGTGCTCTTAGACAATTTTTAGATAAGCAAAGTCAAAAGGAACGAAATGTTATGTATACTAAAGCAACGCAAATCAAATTCAGTAAATCAAATGTAGCAGAAAATAAGTATCTAATAAAGAGATAACAGCAACGCGCATAGAAGAAACGTACAACATATCCCTGAACTGAAGAGAAAGTATCTGTATAAAAAGAACGAATCACTAAAGGTAGACAACTAGTTCTTCGTTAAAACATGTAACAGTTCCAACTAATATTTAAAATACTACCAAGCAGCTCTGTCTGTTCGGATAACCCCATAACTTTTGTAGAACACTAAAAAAGTAACAAATATAGTTAGATGTCCTCGTTCGCTCAATAAAACCTATCCAAGATGCCAATCTTGTAGAAAATGTACAGTAACCAAATTAAGAGATCGTATTAGACACCTAAATACAATTTTACATAGCTGTAAAAGCAAACCTCACACTCTGAACTGGTCCACTAATACGAAGATAACATTCGAAGTTGACATATACTGACGCATTAAGGAAAATACTGCATGAGGGACTGAAGATAAGTGTAAATCTTAATCTCTAAAAAAGAAGACAACATCTGCTGACTGTTGATTCATTGATTCATCTTTAGAACAGACTCGTGGGACATGGACTTACGAGTAAGGTAAGCAGAAAGATCACACTGTTTTGATGAATCAGAACATGGAGGCTATTTCTGGTCAAATTTATTGTTAGGATGTAAGAACATTCACTCGAATTTCACACTTTGGGTTTGTTTCTCCTGTCTGATATTCAGTTATTTTAACCGGACCGTTTTGAAGTGCAAGCGTCTTCATTTTGTTTACAACTCAGGCTGATCAGGTGATATAGTCACCTATCAAGTTGTGAATTGCAGCTGTAAGCGCATTAAGCGGCTTGTCCAAAAGTATCGCAAGCTCTGGTACGACAACATCAGAACGCCATTATATCCTGACTGTTTCAGGTCATCGACTCGATAGCTCTTGGCGGTTCATTGCGCTGAAACAAAATGGGTTAAATTTCATTTAGCTGATAATAAGAAAATTTACTCTGCGCTAGAATTCACCCGCCCTTTAAACAATGAAGATGGACAACTTTCCTCTGCGCCATTGCACTCAAACCCAATGTATGGCACAGTTAAACTGATCCTCTGCTTTCAGGCAAGAGAATTATTTTACAGAAGAAAGGAAAGAGACTGAGAAAAAAAAAGAAATAAAATACTCTACTGCAACTATTAGTAACTATTACTGCGTCATCTGTGTATTCCATAATAGGTTTGCATCAATATTTCTCTAGTTCTAAGAGCTCCAGTGTAATTCCAAATACTGATCGCAAGTTGTCTCAACATATACTCTAAGTAAGTTGAGCAGATCTGTCTTATTCATCTAATGACGGTTAACAAAGCAGTCAGAAGGACCGGATTTGACATGACGCATGGCTTCCGCTACTAGCAGGAAAATTCCATTTAATCCTATTCAATGATTATGACAGGCTATTCCGGACACTGACAACGGCTACGCTTTACGCGATATGGGTTTCATTCATGGAGAGCTTATAATCTGAAGGAAGGCATCTGCTCGGAGGGATATGGCAAAGTGTTTGAGCATGCTGTCTTTAGGGATGAATATAGACTATTCCCTTCTTGAGAATTTTGTAACCCGGGAATTATTTCTAAAAACGTCAGCCATAATTGCACAAGGAAAAGGAAATCCATCACTTCGTCTTCAATTATAACGTCAACTGACTGTTCAAACTGCCAACTTTTACAGATGCAAAAAAGCATTCTATGAAAATAAGCCTAGCGATGTGATCCAGCAAGTTAATAACTGTGCACTTCAAAGCACACGGACGACAG